TTTTTTTTTAAAGAGACACTTAAAAGATGAAAAAACTTGTTTTAGGATCCATAAGGATCACCCCAAAATATAGGGTGATGTGAGGGCCCTTGGTAAAAATCAGTGGGCTGCCGGGATCACACCCAGGCTTGCACACCCAGCCCCATGACCCCTCGACTTCTATCCCCTGGCAGGCACCGTGTGCAGGGAAGGCAGCTGCCATGTTTCGAGTGCTTTCTCTAAGCTACATGTTTCATACTTGTTATCCTCACAGCTCACCAGCAAGGAAAATCATCTTATTTCCACTTTATAGATGAAGAAAATGAGGCTCACCGAAATAAAGGCACATGCCCCAGGTTAGACATGCATGGGTGGCAGGGAGGGGCTCCTGCTCCAGAGTGAAAACGCTGAGGGGCCATCAAACCCAGGTCCTGACCCTCTGGATGACTACAGTGTGGGCAGGGAGGCAGTTTGAGGGCTCCCATTGTTGCGATTTGGAGCACAACAGGTTGCAATCCCCTTTTAGCCCTCTCCCCCAGAGAGATGCCTCCCACTAGTCATGGAGCAGGGAGCGACAGCCACATCACAGGTATGGCTTGCTCCTGCCGTGAACAACTGCTGAGGGGACTCCCAGGTCGACTCCTCCTTTCACTCAAGACCCAGAGTCTCCAGAAAGCACCCCCAAGTCAAAGACGGCAAGGGTCAAGCCTGATTGTGACTTCAGGGCTGGGAGCATAAGACGGGGACTTCACATGATTGGAAGAATAGAGTCCACAGGCCTGAGTGCTCAGAGCCTGCCCAGTCCCCTGCAAGCACAGGGGTGTTTGTGCAGGATGGGAGAGCATGTCCCTAAATGCCCTGGCTTCCTTACCAGCCCACAGCTCCACTCGCTCCCACTGACTGCAACAAAGGGGCATATTCATTACAAAGTCATTCATAAAAGACAAGTTTTATTTCGCTATCTTAGAAATTGGCAAGAAGACAGCACAATGACAACTTGTTTTCTGAGTCACCTTCAGATATGTAATCTCACTGGGACCTCACAGCCAAGGTGGGTAACTACCGATCCGCTTTACTGAGGACTTGGCGGCAGTAACCCAGCTCCCACACTCTATCCACCCAGATGCCTCTCTGCATCCAGTCTGGGTCCTTAAGCCTCAATGAGCAGGGTTGCCACAGGTACATGCAGACACCTTAACCCTCTCGGCTATAAAGCCAGGGGCAGGCTGCCCATCTCTGAACAAAGATCCTCCTCGTTAACTCGCATGGGTTCTTGAGTCCCAAGAACCCTGGCACTTATGTGCAGCTGTGCCGGGCAGCCAGCCAAAAGCCTTGGTAAGCCCTGGGCACAAAGGAACCTGAAGCTAAACAGAGGGATCAGAAGCCCACTGGCCACTGCTGAGCCACTGTCTACAGCCAGGCCTCCCATCAGGAGGACGGTTCTGGAGTGAACTGAAAGAGGGTCCTCTCCTCGTGCCACTAGCCCTGACCTGTTGGGGCCAAGGGGAAGAGCCATCGTCCACTGTCTTCCTGTCTCTGCTGTGCTTATTACCAACCAGCCTTTCTGATTTTCCTCCAAAAAGAGGGTGGGCCCTCCTACTGCAGGGCTGGCTGGAAGCTAGGCGCAACCTACCACTCTCACCAGGGGGCCTTCTGCAGTTCTCAGAGCAGGAAGACCCCACCCCATGCTGGGACTACTGCCTCGATCTCCCAGCGACATACAGGGCACCTGGCCGTGTCCCCGAAGACCCGCCAGGCACAGCAGCTGCAGAAGTGCGTGTGGCCGCAGGGGACAAGGCAGGTGTTGGCAGCGTGGTGGAGGCAGATGACACACTCCTCTCCTGCTGTGGCTGGGAAAGGGGACAACATAAGTAGGTTAGAGGCACATGAGCCAGTGGGTAGGCAGCCTACTCATGACAGAGCCACAGGACAGAGAACCAGGCAGCCGTACTGGGGATATCACCTCCTGAGAAAATGCTTACAACATAATCGAGTGAAAAAAATTGGTATGAAGATCATGATGTACATACACCTAAACCATGAAATTCCAACTTAGAAGAAAGGAATATATGTATGACTGGGAGGAAATTCACCTAGGAGGTAATAGGTTTAGTTTTTCTTTTTTACTTCCTTCTTTATCCCTTAATATTTATTTTATTCCTATTTGGCAAAGCTTTTACTCTGAATGGTGAATTGCTTTGGTAAAGCAGGGCTGAAAAATAACATTATTTGCTCATGAATGTGCTCTTGGAACTTGTAAAGCCAGCTGATATTCTCAAAGGCAGAGCTGAAGCCTGTGTGAGTGACTTGACAGGACTTAAAGGATTCTCCTGAGCTCCCAGAGCTGGGGCCTCCCCGGCAGCCTCCTCTGGTGTTCACGAAAGCCACTCACCTTCAGGCTCAGATGGCATGTCCTCACAGAGGGCCCAGGGCGTGGCTGTGGGGAAGGTGTTGGCTGTGACATCTAGGGCAGAGAGGAAGACTCAGCCTTGCAGGGCAACATCCCCACCCCTGAGGCAGCACCCATTGACTTTCTTTTCCTTATCGCCCTGCAGGAGCTCCAGGAGCTCCAGGTGGGTCCCTGGCCTCATTCTGGCAATCTCTTTCCCAGAGTGAGCTGGCAGAGAATTTACGGGGCTGCAGTCCTTTTTCCTAAACCATCCTCCCTCTAGACACTGCCTCTTTGCCCCTCTGCTGCTGCCTGAGTGGAGACCCTCGGCATCAATCATGGTCTCAAACCAAGATGTGCATCAGAATCCACCAAGAGGTGGAGAAAGTAGGTCCCACCCAGGCCTACCAAGTCAGGTGCTCCAGTAGCTGTAACAAGCCAGTGCTAGGGAGGGGAGGGGTTTGGGCAGGGTCACGGACCACCAGCCCAGAAATGCCAGTATTTCTGGGTGTTCCTGTCTCTACCCATTCCCCTGAAATGCACTTTCCTACAGGTGCCTAGAGGAAAGGTTTCGTGCGCACCCACTGACCACACATCGCCCTTGTCCCACAGGCATCTTCTTGCTCAGCTCTGCCCTTGACCTTATGTTCCCTGGCTTGCCACGCTTGTCCACAGTGAACTCCTGCTTGCACTGCAAACACCCCGCCCCAAATTCCTTCCTTCATGAAAGGTGATCAGTCCCTTAACCCATGTTTGGGGTGCTGGTTATATCTTATTATTCTTCAGGGACAGGGTTGCCCTCCCTAAGCCTGGATCTTGTCACCAGCTCCCATCTTAATAGCTGACACTGGCAGGAACTGATAGAAAAACTGACAGAATATGAATGAAAGTTTCTACCCGAGGCTCTGGATGCCGTGGAGCACCACTTCAGCCTCCACCTCTCCCCTAGGAGCTGTGCCCCGTCTGTGGTCTGTGCCTGTGGCCTCACCCAGCAGCTGGATGGCCTTGGTGGTCCCGTACACGTCCATCACAGCCCAGAGAGGGGCGCCCACCGGCAAGCCTTTGCGCAGCAGGAGCCGGGGGCCCGCGTTGACCTGGGCGCAGAGCCGGCCGCGTTGGGTCACCCAGAAGCAAACCACGTCCCCCGCCAGCGCACAGCCATGAGGTAGCATAGCCGCCCATGTCGGGCTCTGCTGCTCCAGGTCAGGGCACACGAAGGGCGGCAGGCTGGGCGCCGGCAGGTGCGCAGGGTCCAGGCGGGTGAAGCCTACACGGAGGCCGCCGCACCAACCATCCTGGTGCCGCAGAACGCGCAGCACTACGCGCTCCCTGGGCCGCACCGGCCGCTGGCTGAACACGATGCCATCGTGGAAGGTGGCGAACCGATACGCAGTGCTTTGCCGAGCATCCAGACGGACATGCATGCCCTTGGCCTCTGCGTGGAAGCGAAGGATCTCCGGAGTCGCCTTGGCGTCTACGGGGTGCAGGGAATGTCAATGCGGACTGGCAGGGACCCATCAGCCCCCCATGGCCACCTCGACCTACTTCCTTGCAACACTTCGGGGCCACCTAAACCCTTGAAGGGGGGCGTTTCCACCATCCCCAGCTCCTCCAGCTGTCGACCCTGCCCTCAGCCTGGGGACCCCTGGAGACCTACTTTGAACCGGGGAGGAGCCACTTTACCTGTCTGGGATCTGAGTTCCCGTGTGAAGCCCCACCCCCATCCCCTCAGCTTCAGTTCCCCTTCTATAGGCTGGTTGTTAAATTTAAAGGCTGTCAATACCCAGGACTGGTCATTGTCATCACTTAAAAAGAGCAGGTCTGAGAACAGTAAGTGTAACAGGGCCCTGGCTTTGCTCCACAGATACTCTTGCCTAATGTGTACATCTGTGTCCCATCTGTATTGGCAGACGACCTGAAGGACAGAAGACCGCTGTGCTGGGCCTGGCCCACGGCTCCCATGAGAGTGCTGTTCCCTCTTCTTGTCTGACTTTCTGATTTTCCCACCGAGAACCTGAGTCATTTGTGATGGCCATGGCCAATTAGGGTGACTTCCTTGCCCTGGAGAGAAGGGGTCCTGGCAGCTCCCCTTTGGAGTAGGGGCTCAAGTTGGAGAGGGGGCTCTCAATTCAGCCCCTCAACGCCTGCGGTGAGCTTTAAAATCAAGGGACTTCCTGACCTGACTACTTGGCAGCCAGGAAAGGAAGGTTGCTTACGGCGCAGCCCTTCCTCTGAACCCCAGCGGCTTGGGGGGACTCCAGGGGAGGTGCTGGAGGAAGCTGGAAGAGCTTCCTGCCCAGAGTGCACTTAGCCAGCTCCCTCACCTTATCTCTCACCCTCTTCCTCTCCCTCCTCCCTTCCCATTCTCCCACCTTGCTGCACCCGCCCCAGGGGTGGGGAGCGGCAGTGGTGGGCACAGGCCCAGTGTGGCTCTCCAAGTAGGCCTATGCCCAGCCCTGAGCTGGCATGGGGCCCCAGCACCCTCACGCCCACAGGTAGCCATTCTTATTACCAGCCCATTTCCAGGTAGACCCTGTGGCTGCAAAAGCAGAGTGACTTGCCTGTAGAGGGGGGCTCCCCAGTGGTTCCCCACTGCTGCAGGGGACAGACCCTGCCCCAGGTTGGACCCACCTCTGCTGACTGCCAGGGAGTTCAGGAAACATGATTCGCAGGCTTTCGGATGCTCCCCTTCCCGCCACCACACACACAGGTGAACTCTAATCAGAGAACTGTAGTAGCAAAGCTCTTAGACTCTTAAGTGAGTGCGAGTCAGCTCTCTGCTCAATGAGGACCCCCACCATCGCCATCATCCTCATTATAGCCATCTAGCCTCTCCGGGGCCAGGTACCAACCAAGCACTTTGAAGCCTTTCCACCCTCCCCTCAGCTCCACGGAGAAGTACTCAGAGGGAGCTGGCTTGGATAGGCTGCAAGTTGCAGCCAGAGTGGGGGAACCAGGGCCCAGCTCCTGTATCCCTGCACTGCCTCCTTCATGGCACCCCTAGTGTCTGGGGTCCAAACACAGTTGCCTCTGCAGCAGCGGTGGTGGCGGCAGCAGCTGCGGCAGCAGCAGCTTGGTTCCTCTCCCCTCAAAGCTCTGAGTGCCACCTGTCATTGTCGTGTGAGCTCTTAGTGCCCATAAGGGAGGGGGATAGAGGCTGGGGCTTTTTGCCTGGGAAGGAGCCAGGTCCAGGGAGGGCAGTCACATTTCTGGAGGTAAGAGCCCAGGGTCGGGTCTCTGCCAGGAACTGGTAAGAGGGGCGCTATGGCCTTAGGTGACCTTTTGGTCTGTGCTTAGCAGGTGGGCTGCACTAGCCTGGCTTGGGGATAAGAAAACTGAGGCCCCAGTGATGGCCCAGGGCCCACTTGCTTCTTGCATCCCTGGTCCAGGGAACAAGCTCTGGGCTTCCACTTACCAGCCTGTGAGCAGAGCTGGGCCCCCATCAGCCTGAGGTCTTCCGGCCCAAGGTCCGTGGTTCTGGAAGGAGTTCTCTGGAGAGGCCAGTGGACAGGTTTCCAGAGTCTACATGGGTCCCCTATTATAAGCCAGGATCATGTTACAGGGTTGATGATTAATCTGATGTTGCTGTCACGAGTTACAATAGCTAGGGAATTTCCTGGTGATGTCTTCTCGCTGCAGCTGGCCAGCCTGAAGGAAGCAGGGGTTGAGATGGTCTTGGCGGAGTTTGGGTAGACTTCTATCCCACTTCTGAGCAGTCGTATGCCAACTGCCTGTGCATTATAATTGTCTGCAGCACGCTTACAAGTACCTGTGCCTACACTTGCCTCCAGAGCCTGATTCCAGTGGCCTGGGGTTGGGCTAGCACCAGCCATTTTTAAAAGCACCTGGATGATTCTAATGCACAGCCGGGGTGGAGAGTCGCCTGGCACTTAATCAGTGTTGGCAACGTGGGCTAATTGAATTCCCTTCATCCTGGAATCTGGGAAGCTGCCAGGCCACAGGTCTCTGCAGAGAGACAGCAAGGCAGGTGAACCTAAGTGTGCAGTTGCTCCCCATCCTCACTGGGGCTGGAGTTCCACCTTCCAGAACCCACTCTAAAGTGCAAGTGGTCCCCAGGAGCTCCTGCCAAATGCCTACGTCCTAGGGCGTCAGCTGTGGCAAAGAGGCCACGGAGCCTCTGCCCTTCGTCCCCACAGGGACACAGGCTGGGGATTGGCAAGTAGTGGGCTCTAACCTCATGCTTCACACATGCAATACTCATATGACCCTCCAGAGCAGCTTATTGAATGAAGATTGACTCAGAAGGTCCAGTCATGCCCAGGACCCTGCTCTCCTACCAAGGCGTCTCGTAGGCCCCGTCTTAGAGAGAAAGCCTGGGCCAGTTTGCAGGTGTGTGAGTGCCTGGGCCTCTACCAGCCCGCTAAGCCCTTCCCGGGACCCCAGTCAAGTCCATGATCATGCCTACTCTAAACCTGGCTAAAGGAATGGACACCCCATGCAAGACCCTGGGAGTAATGGTGCTGGTGGCTGGTCTGGGGAGGTGGCAGATGGGAAAGGACAGGGGTTGGGAGACGCAGGCTCTGCCTCCTGTGTTTCCTTGCCCTCCCTTGCCCTCTCTGGGCCCTGGTGTCCTCATGTGTAAAAATAGGAAGCCAGGATGAGCTGGTCCGTGGGTTCCTTCTAGCCCTGATGTGCTGTGACTTTGGTTTTGGTGAATAGAGGGGTGACAATAGCCTGGACCCAGGGTTTCAGAAGATGTTGCTGCCACCCTGGGCCTTCTCTGTCACACTAAGTCCCCTGACAGGCTCCCTCAATTCCTCCTCCAGAAGCAAAAGCCAAAGGCAAATTAATGAGGGGTCAGCAGTAATCACAAGTCCAAAGTTGACAGTTCCGGCTGGCCTTGCCTGAGGCGAGGACTCATAGTTTATGCTCCTGCTGGCCCAGCCTGGGTGGCTCCAGTTGCAGGTGTCCCCTGTCTTCGGGTGGTGCCAGGAGCCCTTGGTTCTGACTTTCTCCCTCACTGCACCCCCTCCACTCCACCTGAACCACTGGCTGCCTTGGTAGTTCCTAGAGCACCTTGTTGATAAACCACATTCCTGTAAACAAGGTAATTATGAAGCCTTATCAGGAAAATCAGGTCTTGAGCTCAGCCCGTGTGGAAAATTACTAGACAATCTGTAGACAGCAGGCTGCCTGATGCCACCAGGCTGGGGAGGTATGGTCCCATCTTCAGGAGCTCAGTGGGGGTGAGCCTTCTGAGGAACCGAGCCTCCGCCCCAAGCCTGACTTGGGTGGGGGAGTGCCCAGGCTGAACTACTAGTGCATACCCCTACGTATGTGTGGTTAACAAGCACTTTCCTGCCCATGCTGGTGGCATGCCTCAACAAAGTTCTATTTGCTGTGTCACCTCATTGTACAAATGGAGAAACTGAGGCACGATGCCACAAAGCAAATTTTTCACAAGCACAAACCAGGACTTGGCCCAGGGGTCTGGTCGGAAACTGATGCCTTGGCTACTGTGCTATGCTCCCTCTCTCAGGCCACTCTGAGCCCCTCTGAGTATTTAGTTCTCAGTGACGTCTTCTTCATCCAACTGTGTCGGCACGCAGTGGGAGCTTTATGAGTAGTAGCTGACTGGTTGCCCGAATGTGAGGTGGAAGCCACCCCACAATGGAGCCTGCTCTGTTCCCCCACCTCCAGGCCACCAGCCACCACAAGGCTGTCTTAACTGTTGGTTCCAAGAAGTAAAGTGTCTGGCCTTGGGTGGATGGCAGCCTCTAGACAGGGACTGGGGTTCCCCCTGGTGGCTGCAGTCAGTACTGTGGGATGCACCGAGGCCCTCATGACTGGAAGGAGTACTTCCCAGGAGGGGCTGAGGCTTCTGAGGCCTCTGCACCTCCTCCCTGACCCTGCAGCTACCCACATCACGTCCGCTCTCCTGAGGTCCCTCTCACCGGCAGTCAACCCTGAGTTAGCCCGGGGCCCCATCAGTTCAAAGGGCTTTCACATAGGTCACCACCTAAGATGCCCCCAGCACACTGACAAGCTGCTGAACGGCTGTTTCAGTACCCACCATACAGCTGAAGAAGCGGAGGGCTTGCCCAGGGTTCGTGCCAGCCTGAGGCTGAGCAGAAGTGGAAAGCCACGGGCACTCATCCCCACCTGGGACACTGGCAGCTCAGCCCGTGTCTCCTGCCATCGGGACCCCGGGACCCCTACATTTTTATACTTGCCTTGTCCAAATGTTCTCCGCCAAACCAAAATCTCGTGGGGCAAGGGGCTGCCATGCCTGGAAACCAGCCCCTAGAGCGATCAGGGCCACGCGCACAGTAGGTGGTGGGGACGGATTTGTCACTGCCAAAAGGCGCAGTGCGGCAGTCTCTTTACCAAGTGCCCATCCACCTATCTAACGACCCAGCAGCTCCTGGCTCTCTCGGATGAATACCCAACAGACTCAGGGGCCTACGTCCATAGAGACTGGTGCAGGACTGTTCAGAGCAACGCTGCTCGCGACAGCCCCAGACTAGACACAGCCCAAACGTCCATCATGCTGGGCGCTGAGCGGCGACGGGAATCGCTCGCTGCTGGGATCCGGCCTCAGGAATGTAGGGCGAGAGTGCTGCCCTCAAGTGGTTTCTGTTGGAATTGCACCACTGTGCGGGATCCCTCGTCTGTCCAGGCGTGGATCTCCAGAAGGCTCCCTCCCTCACGAGCCCCATCAGTAATCTCTGTCCCAGGGCTGCTCCCTGGGGCACTCAACCCCAGGACTGCGTGGAAAAGGAAATCGCCATGTAGTCACATCATGGTAGTAAAAATAAATTAGTTAAACACAACAACGGGTTAAACTCTACCAATGTGTTGAGGACCCAAGAACAGACAGCACCCACAGCATGCTTCCATTCATATGAATGGAAATTAATGGAAATTAATTTCTGGCTAAATTGATCTTCACTGTTAGAAGTCAGGTTAGTGTTCACCTTTGGGAGGGGCACAGGAAGCCTTTGGGGACTGGCAGTGTCCTCCCTCTTTATCAGTGGTGTGTATACATATAGAAAAAATCCATCCGTCTAGACCCTCAGGTCGCACATCGATTGCATCTTGATCATATATTGGCTAAACTCCCTTCTAGCCCTAAAATTGATCCTAAGTAAGCTGGTGAATGATGGAAAACCTGTGCCCATGGAAACCAGAGTGCTTGGCCCACACTGCCTCCTGCTGGAGTGAAACACAACTGAAGGTGGGTCCCTGCCCAACCACTCACTGGCTCATTTTCCTGCCCCCTCGCTTCCTGTCCACGAGGCCCCCCAACAACTCTGGAGGTCCACCAGACCCTCTGCGTCAACAGCTGGACCTGCACCCAGAGCCGTGGGGGCCCGAGGGCAGGGGAAGGGAGCCAGAGTAGGCCAGCAAAGTAGACCCAAGTTAGGTCTGTGCGGCCACTTCTGCCCTGCGGGCCGGGCCAGATCTCCATGGACCCAGGTCCGCTGCATACTTCTGCTGCGCCAGGCCTCCTGGGCCCACTGTGCACTGCCATCACCTCGAGTTCCCTGGTTCCTGCCCTGTCAGCACCAGAGCACCCGCAGTGTGAGCGTGGAGCTTGCCAGGGAGGGGAGCTGGGGGAGGAGGCCAATGTGGCTGCTCAGAAGTGAGGGAGGGGGAAGAGGGGAGGCATGCTCTTTCCTCTTTTGGTTTCTTGTTTTCCTTCTCCCTGTTGCCTGCTCATCCCACACACACTTGTCAAGGCGTCTGTTCTGGGAAGACTGGGACATCTACCCTGGATGTGTGTGTGTTCGATAGAAATTTATTAAGTACTTACTGTGTGCCAAGCACTCTCCAATTTCTGGGTATCCAGAGAAAAGAAAACCCAATCCTTGTCCCTCTGTCAATTCATGTTGTCCTTGATACTTAGGTAAGTGCCCCAGACTGAGGGCTGGGAAAACCAGGGGTGCATAAGTGTTGTTAGGCCTAGGAAATGGGTGAAGGTTTTATGGAGCAACAGTATAACTGATCCCCAAAGGATAATTAGGCTTTTAACAGCAAGTCGGGTAAGGAGGGTATCCCAGGGAGAAGGGACCATATATGCAAAGGCACAGAAGTGTACTCATGCACAGTGTGGTGTGTTTGCATCGGTTAAGGTTAGGATGGTTTGCCTGTAACATAATATCCAAAAAGAATAGTGGCTTAAATGAGAGGTGTACATTTCTTTTTCACATAAAATAAGTTGAAAATAGGCCGTCCAGAGTAACTGCGACAGCTCTAAGGAATACAGGTTCTCTCCACATTTCTACTCCACCATCCTAGCACTGGGTGGCAGCCAGAAGAGTGTGGGGTGAAGGCAGGCAGGCCTCACAGGTGCACCATGTATTCACAGCAGCTGGCTGTCCCTCATTGTGAGGCTGCCAGTGGCGGGGGGAGGGGGAGGAACGCTGTGGTGGCTGAGAACTAACTCTGCCTGCCAGAAGAATTTTCTAGGATTCCTTGGAGGTCCTTCTGGCCCCACACCAAAGCCAAAATAGTACAGGGAGTAAGAAACTGTCTTCTCCCTGCTCCTTGGAGCCTTTGCCCATTGTCAATGCTTGTTTTGGCCAGGAGTGACCCTCCCCCCAGGTGAGAAGCTACCCCCAACTCCAGGTGAGGACCCCGGGCAAGGACTCCTGGCGAAGAGCGACCCCCTAACTCTTGCCTCACCCTAGGCAAGGAGCAACCCCCACTCTAGGCCTCCTAATGCATGCATGGCAGGGCTGGGGCTCCAAATGTCAGGTGCTAGGGTGGACCCCAGCCTATTCTGTCTCCCTGGGGCCTCCCTTCCCCACATGAGTTTTAGGAAACAGGACCAGAACCAATCCAGCCCCAGGGCGAACAGGTTAACAATAGGGCGTCTGCCCCTTGGGCTCTGTGCCTACTGACCACCACTGCCTCTCTCCGCGTGACAATATCTGTTGGAGGGAACGAAGTCAGGGTCCTTGAATTCGGTCT